AGCAAAGTGAGACACTGATCTGTACTTTTCTTGATACTTGAAGTATTTTGTTAGAACCAGAGTAACAAATCCCCAGGGACCCACCATCCAGAATTTAACAAATGCTTACATCTTCCTTTGGATTTTTGGAAAAAAAAAAAAGAAAGAAACAGAAGAGACCCCTTTTGCAGCCACAAGCAGTTCTACTCTCCTCTGAGTTCAACGCAACTGCTTTCTCATTATGTTTCTATACTTTCTCTCTATAAATAACAATCAACATAGTTTCTTTAAAAACTGTATAAATGGCATGCATTTCATCTCCTGTGACAGCTTATTTTCATTCACTATTTTTTCAAGGGCCACCCACATTACAGATCAAGTTCATTCATTTTAACTGCTCAATTGTTTACCATCTATAAATAGGCCACAATTTACTTACCCATTTTCTTGCTCATGAGCATTTAGGTTATTTCCAACTTTTCCTGGAAACAAACAATTCAGCTGTGAGCCTTCTTGTACATTTCCTCATACACGTGTACATGGTTCTCTAGAAGATTGCTTCTCAAGGTTTCATGAGCATGAGTCACCTAAGAAATCTTAACCACCGAGTCTGGTGCAGCAAGTCCACGTCAGGACCTGAGAGTTGCAAGCGTCCAGGTGAAGCCCATGCTGCTGCTCTGTGGCCCACACTTTGGAAGTGAGACTCTTAAGTGTATACCTAGAATTGTTGGGTCATAGAGTATGCAAACCTGACTTTCTTAGACATCATCAAATTGAACCTGTTTTTACTCCAAAAGAAGTGAACGTGTTCCTATTGCTCCATTCTTACCAACACTAGATCTTGTGACTTTTTACCTTTTGCTAATCTGAAAGCATGAAAAAATCAGGTCACACTTCACTGATTATCAGGACAGTAATAATCTTTCCACATTTTTTTTTTTTTTTTTTTTACTATTCATTTTTTTTCTGTTTATATTGTTCATCCATTTTTCCAATACAGCAATTTTAAGTGTGGTGCAAGGACCCTAGGGGTCCCCTGAGACCCATTCAGTGGGTCTGCAAGGTCCCTTTTTTTTGTTGTTGTTGTTGTTGTTGTTGTTTTGAGACGGAGTCTCGCTCTGTCGCCCTGGAGTGCAGTGGCCGGATCTCGGCTCACTGCAAGCTCCGCCTCCCGGGTTCACGCCATTCTCCTGCCTCAGCCACCCGAGTAGCTGGGACTACAGGCACCTGCCACCTCGCCCGGCTAGTTTTTTGTATTTTTTAGTAGTCAGGGTTTCACTGTGTTAGCCAGGATGGTCTCGATCTTCTGACCTCGTGATCCGCCCGTCTCCGCCTCCCAAAGTGCTGGGATTATAGGCTTGAGCCACTGCACCCGGCCGGTCCCTTTTTTTTAAACAATTACCTATCTATGTGAGGCTGATTTTCTCCTTCACATACTTCAACCAAAACACACAGCAATAGACTGCAGAAGCAGGTATGAGAGGCCAGCTATCTTTTATTAAGCTAAATGTTAAAGAGATTTGTAAAAATGTAGAACAACGCCACTCTTCTCGTTAAGTTTTTGTTTTGAAAACTAATCATTCTTCTTAATGTTTTTCTTAATATAACTTTTAAATTCTAACAGAAAATATCAATAGATTTAACCCACATACATGAAAACTCTTTGGGGTTCTCACTTTTGAAGAGTGTAAAGGGATCTTGAGACCAAAAGTTTTGAGAATTGCTGTTCTAATGCATGGCTGTCATTTTCTCAATGACTTTTGTATGAGGTTATTTTGTTTTTTTAAAGTATTCCAGATACTAATCCTTTGACAGTTATAAGCATTGCAAACATTTCCTTCCTGTCTGTAGCTTGTTCTTTTACAGTGTCTATTGTTCCATAGAAGCCATGATTTTATGCATCATTTTTTCCTGTGTATGCTTTTGTGTCTTGCTTTAAAGAAATCCTTCCCATTTGCAAAACCATGAAAATAACCTTATAGATTCTCATTTAGAAGTTTTGTTTTCATATTTAGGTCTTTAATCCCTTTGTTTTTGGGGAAGGGTATAAGGTAGTACATATTGTTTTGCCGTATCTGTCAAAAATCAAGTTCCCATGTAAACATGGACCTGTTTCCGGGCTCTTTATTCTCATCAGAGATCCCTTGACTGACCTCTACTGGCACCAGCCACGCACTGCTTTAACTGGTATACCTTTAAAATATTATTTGATATTGTTAGGACAAGTTCATGCCTCTTCCTCTCGTTCTTCTTCAAAATTATCTTGCTTTTTCTTAAAAGTAATCTTTCTCTTCCCATGTAACACATTTTGGGGTGTAACAGAAGGTCTACTGAGTTGGGAGTCCAGGCATCTGCCCTGTTCTAATGGCAGCTGCCCCTAACCAGCTGTGGCTGAGGAGCTCATATCTCTCTGAGCTCGGCTTCCTTTTCCACGGAACAAGAAATCTGAAAATCACCTCTATTTTTCCTCTCCAATCCCAACAGCCTATAATTTTAGTATACAGACATTAAACTTAACAGATAAGGAAGGGAATTGAATAGAGATACTTCAGCATTGCAGATTATAGGAAACAGAACTTCCGCCACATAAATAGTAATGTTTAGGAATTCATAAAAGAGTTTAAAAGTTCTCTTCATTATTTTATGTTGAAGGTTAGGCTAGAATCATCACCAGAGTATTCATGGGATTTTGGGGGTCCTCTAAAATGAAACTATGTCTTGCCATAAGAGTTTTACTTCCTGTATGAGTTAAACCACAATTTTAGAGACAATCTTACACAAATACAGAGGAGTTTCCAATCAGAAAATTTTGTATGGGAGGATTTAGAAAAAATGAAAACTTCTGATGAAACCCATTATAAGTCTTCGCATGGAACCAAAATTCCATATTACTTCACCAGCAATCACTAGGTGATGAACTCTGATGTGACTGACCTCCACTAATTCATTTACAGCTCTGCTTTTTCTTCTTTGTGATCAAAGGCAGGAATTAGAAAAATGCTTGGCTACAGCTAAGGATACTGCTCTTATTTTGAAGCAGGGAAAGTCTAAAAGGGCTTTGTAGGGAACCCCCAGCTTTGGCAACATTGAATGAATTACAGAAAGAATATGGGATTTCCCCTAACTCTCTCCTCCTGGAACCCTCATTCTATGAATCTCCACATCTGAGCTAACTTCAATCAAGATGGGTACTTTTCACTGACCTCTAATGAGATCAGTGTAAGAAGCATGCCCATGTATTTCAGAATATTGTTTTACCTCAGACAAGTGAAATTAAAAGTCTGCAATTCACCAAAAATATTTTACCCTTAGCATAATATATGGTATGTTTCTGTTTTCCTCTTCAGAAATAGACTTAGGAAGCAAAATTGCCCATTTAATCCAACATGTATACTTTAGTCTGCAAATATATAAACTAAAAAAGATTTACCTTAATTAAATTTAACAATATTTTGTATAAAGCTTTTGTGTTTAAAAAGCATTTTCATATATACTATTTCATTTTACCTTCATAATCATCCTGTATGATAAATGGAGACAATATTATTATGGTAAGAACTGTGTTAGAGATAAGAAAAAGTTCTGAGAAATTAGATGATTTCTCAACATCACAAAGGATGAGACACAAGACTTAGGTCAGCTTCCAGTCACAACTCACGAAGATCCCTTGAAAACTACGGTTGATTTTTGTCAATCTGCATAAAAGTGACAAGTAACTCCACTCAACCCTCATGAAAACAAATTAAATACCTGCATGTTCGGTACAAGAGAAAGCAAAGAAGTCATAAGGGACATTTGCAGTACATTAACTGCCTTTCAAGATGACTTCGTATTTTTTACTGTATAATAACATGTGACTAGTATGTCCTCTGGTTCATTTATATTCCTATTCATAATTACGGCCAATTCATCTAGTTCAGATAAGAAGAAAGTAGAGCACATTCAGAAGTCTCAGGATAAGAGATCAGATGATACGAAACTGGCTAGTATTCCCCCTGAAGAGATCAAGAAGGGGAGTGGGGACAATTATGAGGAATTAGTGATAGAAATTAGCAAGAAATGGAAACGTATGAAGGTAAAGAAAAAAATATATCTCTAAATGGAAAAGAAAAAAATTTAAGTTTCAAATGCTTATTTTTAAGTCAATAACACAGAAGAAACCTGATCATCAATACTATCCATGAAGCTATCAGAAAAGACTTTGCCATTAAGGATTTTAGTGTTTTAGAGCTGATCTATAATTGAAAATTTGTTCATTTCGTTAATCTGAAGATTCGAGGATATGCAGAAAGCAATAACTTCATTGTACAGAAAGTATACATTTCAAGCCAGTGAGTTTAGAATTACTTTCAAGACCAATTAAAAGAACTGACTAATCCATCCTAAAAATGGACTTAATACTGATCAATGTACACGACTGTTCTAATACTCAGTTATAACATTTCTTCATATTTCTTTTGTGTTAATATTCATCATTGCTATAGAACAGATGGTATAAGCCTCAGCTCTATCACAAAATCTTTCATTAACAAAGTTTTTCTCCATTGAGTCACGGGAAAAAAAGAACAAAAACGTCTGAAAATAGGGAAGAAAAAACCCAATGAAGAATAACACATCTCTTGTTAAATAGTATAAATTCTGTACCATCTGCTACCTTGTTCCGTCATACTTTACAGCTGTCACTGTGCCTAGGGAGGACATGCCATGTAAACTAATTTGCTTCCACCTCCACAATTCAAATCAGAGCAAAAAACTGAACAATATTTTACTGGTAAACAGTAAACAATATTTTACTGGTAAACCAGTAAATATTTTACAGAACAATATTTTACTGGTAAAACAATATTTTACTGGTAAACCAGTAAATATTTTACAGAACAATATTTTACTGGTAAACCAGTAAAATATCAAATTAAATCAAGTAAAATCTTGAAGAGATACTATTCTTGAAACACAACTACAAATGTTCAATTAGTTTCTACCTATCATTGCTCTTGAGAAAAAAACACAATAATCCATAATCAGTTATTTAAAAATAATTTTTAAAATCGGATCCAGTGTCATGTGGAAAAATGATCTGTGATGCTTTTTAAAAGATCCGAGTTTTTCATATATTATGAAGGATTAACAAAATACAAAAGCATTAAGTAAAAGTAATGTGAAATTCACAAAATAAAGCAGAAAGGAGCACTTCTGTGTTAAAATAATGTAATTCTCCCTGTACATTTCTGTCCACATGAGCCAACAAACATCAAGAATACACACTTTACAGTATTTACCTGTTTTAAGACATTCAAGTCAATTCAGATGGCAAAAGTAGAATTCAATCACTAGTGAAATGTTTTAAAAATATATATTAAACCAAAAAAATGTTTTTACAAGATAAAAAATAATCTTCCACAATGTAATTAATTGCAGATCATTGAAATTTTAACTCTTTAGATGATTTCAGTTCAGTTTTTTGGTTTCAAGATCTAGAGACAGTCAAACAAAAGCACAGGCAGAATCTCTATCTGTTTTTACGTTTCTCTTTCTTGCTTCGACTACTTGTTGCACTGTTTAAAGATGATGATGAAGGTGCTCTTGCATGACCTGTGGCCTTTAGATGGTCAAAAAGTTTATTCCGGGATGGAAATTCACTATGGCAGGTTGTACAGCTGATAAGAACATCACTCTGAGAAGGGCAAAAAATCATAAATAAAAGTAAGCATCATCACTTAAAAGTAGTGTTTTAGGTTTTAATGTCAAGATTAAGCATCAAACAATTGTAAAATAAAGATGTTTTAACAGAGTGGACAGCTAATACACAGGTCCAACAAAGGCAGATGTTCTTGGAGGTTAAATCCCACTAATCAACACAATTAACTTTAAGGGTCCTGAGACTTTCAATAGCATGTACCCCATGGACTAGAACAGAGGAAGAGTTTATGCTTCACAATTAATCTCCAGAACTTGACACATGTAATTCTTACCCCCAAGGCTTTAGATTGAAAACAGAAAGCAACAGTAACTGTTCTGGTACAGTCGAGCATTTCCAATGTGCTTCTTTTTATTTTAATGAAAAAAAGATACATTATATATACAAATTCTACCTTTATCAAACAAAACTGTTGATGGATCCACGTCTTTGCAGGTTCTTTGGGGAATAGCTCACCAAATACACATTTCCATCTTTAGATCACTATATTGCTTAAACAGCAAGATATGCTAAAGAGATACAAATATGATTTTGACCTACCATTGCCTGTGGTTCAGCAGGTACTCTGATAGGTTTTTTCATATCTTTGGTTTTCTTTCCTTTGGGTTTAGGAACACTGGAAAACAAATAATTCAGCATAATTAAAAAAAAAAACATACTCCTTTTAATCATCATTATTTGAGTGCTCTAAAGAACACTCAAAAAAGTGAAATGCACTTTAAAGGTTAATTCATTAATTTTAAAGGCAATTTAAATAATCTTTACATTCAAATGAACAGCTTTAAAAAGCAACTTCGGAAATCAAATTGAATATCAAATTTGGCATAAAAATTAAGGAATTTACTTAAAACAGTTGAAACAAAGTTAAAACAAGGTTCTTAAAATATTTCTGAATGTTTTACACAGTGTTTTCATAAAAAGCAAAGCACTGCCACGCGCAGTGGCTCACACCTGTAATCCCAGCACTTTGGGAGGCCAAGGCGGGGAGATCACTTGAGGTCAGGAGCTTGAGACCGGCTTGGCCAACATGGTGAAACCTCCGTCTCTACTAAAAACACAAAAAATTAGCTGGGCGTGGTGGCAGGCACCTGTAATCCCAGTTCCTCGGAAGGAGGATCAGGAGAATCTCTTGAACCCAGGAGGCAGAGACTGCAGTGAGCCAAGATTGTACCACTGCATTCTAGCCTGGGTGACAGAGCAAGACTCTGTTTCAGAAAAAAAAAAAAGCACGAAGCACTCAATACTCCATTTAAAGAAGCAAACCATCTTCATAACCAACCAATAGTAATCATAAATGATCTGACATGAAGTGTGGTTCCCCAAAAACATTAACTTCTTTTTTTTGTTTGTTTTTTTGAGATGGAGTCTCACTCTGTTGCCCAGGCTCGAGTGCAGTGGGCGTGATCTTGGCTCACTGCAACCTCTGCCTCCCGGGTTCAAGCAATTTTCCTGCCTCAGTCTCCTGAGTAGCTGGGACTACAGGCACGTGCCACCACATTCAGCTAATTTTTGTATTTTTTAGTAGAGACAGGGTTTTACCATATTGGCCAGGATGGTCTCACATTCCTGACCTCGTGATCCACCGCCTCGGCTTCCCAAAGTGCTGGGATTATAGGCGTGAGCCACCGTGCCAGGCCTAATAATAACTTCTTGAACGTGATCCAGTCTAACAAACATTTCAATAGTTGCACAGAGAAATGAGTGAAACAAAGACTCTGTAATACATGTTTCATAAAATTAAATTTGCTCAATGTAAGGAATTTACTGTTATTTAAAAATTATGTCCTTTCTGTTGATCTGATGGTTTTTCCCCACCGTATCATTTAGATCAGAAATGATGTCGCTGGGTTCCTCTTATTCTGCCTGAACTCCTGAACATTCCTCTACTCATCTCCTACATGAATTTCAATTGTCCTTAGGCATTTCATACCTTCCCTCATTTGTGATAACCAAATTCATAGGGTAAAAATCTGGGTCCAACTATACTGTACAGAACAGACAGGATGGGTTATAATGAGTAAGTTATGATAATGCTTCCGGTTTATAGGTATACTATTCTTCAAGCAGAGGCCAATGGTCTGTGTTAAGTTAAATGGCCCATGCATTTAAAAGATGCAGATTAGGAGTGTAACATATTGTGTAGGATTCAGCCAGCTTTGAAAACATCAAGAAAAGGATACAATGGCATAAAAGGCAACAAATAATACATACTAATTTTCAAACTATCATCACAGATACGACACAAATATGTCTAACAAATTTAGGACAATATTCCTGGCAAACATCACTTATATTATGAAAGACAGTTACATCTCTGAAGCTGATATCTAAGACCTTTATTTTTTAAAAATACTACTCACGCGCGCGCACACACACACACACACACACACAATTTTTTAAAAAAACCTGTCTCAGTAGGTGGCCAGTGTCCACACCACTCCAGAGAAGCAGCAGAGTCGTCGAGCATAAAGGCCCTGGATCCAGGGGACAGGAGTAGTGTGGGGAGGGCGGTGGGCGTAATGCATCTATCTTAGCCCTGCCATTCTGCAGCTGTGAAGAAGTTACTTGAATTCTCTGAATCCTTTTCTCACATCAGTGAAATGAGAGAGCTGAACTATATCAGTGGTTGCCCAAGTCTGAGAACCTTCTTCCTCCCCAGACCAATTCTCATGTAGAAGTAACATGGAGGCTGGGCATGGTGGCTCACGCCTGTAATCCCAGCACTTTGGTAGGCCGAGGCAGGCAGATCACAAGGTCAGGAGTTTGAGACTAGCCTGGGTAACATGGTGAAACCCTGTCTCTACTAAAATACAAAAAAAAAGCCAGGCGTGGCGGTGCATGACTGTAGTCCCAGCTACTCGGGAGGCTGAGGCAGGAGAATTGCTTGAACCCAGGAGGCAGAGATTGCAGTGAGTTGAGATCGTGCCACTGTACTCCAGCCTGGGTGACAGAGCAAGACTCCATCTCCGAAAAAAAAAAAAAAAGAAGTAACATGGAAAAGAAGTGAACAATTTTAGTTTTAGATGAAGAAGGGGTTCAGAGGCCCACAGCCCCACCTCTTGGCCCACTCTTGCGCCCATCCCACAGGACACACAGGCTCCGTGGAGCCAGATGATCTGGGTGCCTTCAAGTCGTCAGGCAGATGGAATGAAGTGTCAGCCTTTCTACTCAACAGCTTTTGTCTTTGGACAATTAACCTGAAATTCAGTTTCCCCATTAGCAGAAAGGGAACAAACACCTGGTGTCAGAGTGAAATAAATACGAATTTCCCCTTCTAGGCTTCTACTCTCCAAAGTTCTTCAAAGCTTCAACATGACCAGTTTGTGTAGTTCTTTATATACTTTCTTCTATAGCCAGAGCCACATCGTGGGCCTCAGGCACATCTGTTTCCTCCTTCCTTAAACCCCTAAGTGCCTTAAACCCCAAAGTACACATACTCCCCCACCCCATCACTGTTGCTCCAGTGTTAGCATTTTTACCTCATGCTCCCACTTTGCTCTGTCACTTTAATTCTTTTCAGGGTTCTGTAATGACAGAAACCTGAAGCTCCTCACTATCAGATCTTTCCTCAAGAAATAAGAAATGATTCTCTGTTCTAGAGGAACCGAGGAGGATGGGGAAAAGAAAGTCAGACAAGAGGAGGAAGGAGAGGACAGGACAGGCTACCTCCCTTGAGTGAGACCTCCTCCTAGGCCACACCATGGCCTTGTGCAGCACCAAGAGTCCAGGGCTCCTCTAAGCAGGCAAGGCCCCAGCTGCTGCCATGCATCCTCACAACATGGTGGGGCCCAACACAAGCTGCTGTCATGAGCATGGAGATTTGGTTAGTAACACTCCAGGGACGCAGCAGGAGTCTTGTTCTCATGTGAGTGTCAAGGGTTAATGATCCACGACAAAATCAGCACCACAGCAGGATAAGGGAAACAAGAACTGGATCAAAGTGACATCTTTCTGATTTTGGCCATGCTGCTGAGATGTGTGTGGGCACATTCCTCTAGCATCCTCTTCTCAATGCTCTTCATCTGTATACATATGTGTGTGTATCTACATGCAGATATGTACAGATACATCTAAATTACTCGGTCAGTCATGGGAAAGAAGATTTTATTTGATATATGAAAAGCTATATCCTTACTACCAATATTCGGTAATTTACAAATGATATGCAACTTTGACTTACCTTTTAGTTTCACTTTTTGGATCATCACATGGTTTAATGATCTCTGTGACACTGACATTTTCCTGGGGACTATCTTCCAATTCTTTGGTACTGTCTTGATTTAAGTTAGTATCTTCTGGATCAAGCTTTACTCCTTCTCCAGTTCCATTTACATTGAAATTGTCATCATAATTCTAGGTAATAAAACGTATGTGCCATTACAAAATAAATCTACTACTACTACTTTTTTATGTTATGTTGCCAAATAGTTATATACTTTTGGGAAATAAAAAGGGGAAGCAGGTAAGTTAAGAACATGGATGCTCATTACAGAGATGGTAAATTAGCGGAAATCTGAAAACAATCCAAATGTTCAAAAAGTGAAAGGCTGAATATATGAAGAAAAATTCTCAAGTGCTTAAGTATCATGTTTCCAAAGATATTCAATTATGTGAAAAAATACAACATATTAGCAAAAGCAGAAGAGAGAAAATTGTAATCACAATTTAATCCTTTATTAAGTAATCTCTACAGGTAAAATTGAGGATGATATTTTTCCATATTTCCAAATGATAAGCAATGGGCAACTATTTTTCTACAGTCACAAACAACGGCAACAACAAACAGGCATTATAGAAGAAAGACACCGGGCAAACCTATCCTAAGTGTACCTGTCTGTTTTCAAGCAAAATTTTGGCACATTTGTGCTCGCTCTCTCCACCTCTTCTCTCTCCCAACACACACTTTTTCCCCCAAACCATCTGAAAGTGAGCTTGCAGGCAGATATGAATCTTTCAGGTACATCCTAAGAATCAAAACATTCTCTGGCACAATACGCACGCTCAAGAATCTAATGCTGATATTAACTGTTACACAACCCACATTCAAATTTACCAATTAATCCTTTTCCCCTATTGGGACATACAGGATAGGGGGTGTAATCAGGGATCACATGTTGCATTTAGTTGTCAGGTATCTTTAATGTCCTTTATTTTAGAACAGTTCCCCCACTTTTTTGTTTTGTCTTTCATGGTGTTGACAATTTGATGTTTTGTAGAGTGTCCCATAATTTGGCTTTGTTTGGTTGTTTCCAAATGATCAGATTCAGGTTAAACATTTCTAGCATAATACTATAATCCCAGGAAGCAAAATGCGTTTGTCACATTTTTCAGTGATATTAATAAGTTTGATCATTTGGTTGGGGTGGTATTGCCAGATTTTTCAACTATAAAGTACATTTTCCCTTTTTTAATTAATAAGTAATCTTTAGAGCATGATGCTGAGACTATGTAAATATCCTGTCCCCATAACCATTTACTGAATATACTTGGCATCTATTGATGATTCTTGCCTGAAACATTTATATACTGGTGGATGTAGAAGAGTGATTTTCTCCCTCTATTACGTCTGTCATTTGCACTTGTACTAATTAATATTCTCCTGTAATAATAAAGCTTTCCCATTTCCTTTCTCCAACTCCCACTCTTTTTTTTTGAGACAGAGTCTTGCTCTGTTGCCCAGGCTGGAGTGCAGTGGCGGGATCTCAGCTCACTGCAACCTCAGCCTCCAGGGTTCCAACGATTCTCCTGCCTCAGGCTCCACAGCTGGGATTACAGGCGCGTGGCACCATGCCCAGCTAATTTTTGTGTTTTTATTAGAGATGGGGTTTCACTATATTAGCCAAGCTGATCTCGAACTCCTGACTTTGTGAACCACCCACCCTTGCCTCCCAAAGTGCTGGGATTACAGGTGTGAGCCACCATGCCTGGCCAACTCTCACTCTTTTAAAAGTCAATATAGATACATAAATTTATTTTTAACAAATGCAATGTATGAAGATCTATTACCTTTATTCCTTTTGATGACTCAAATTTTCCCAAATTGGCAGGCCCCGCAAGCTGGATCTTGAGTATTTCTAATGTATCCCTATCAGTTTTTGAGCACTTCCTTAGTTTCTAGTATAAGATGCTCTAGGCTCATGTTCCACTTTCCCAGTCTCAGCCCTGAAATCAGCTACTTCTCCAAAGATCAAGCCTGTTTCCTTTTCATAGAAAAGGAAACTTAATAACCAATACGTGTGCACTAGGTGTGCTCAATGCTAGGAGTGTCATTGCTTCTAGGTCCTCACAATGTACACTGCTCACACACTTACTTTCTTTAAATGATGGGCTCACACCAACATCTCCACTTCAATCCAACTCCACAGTATTCTTCTTCTCTTTCTCTCTATGTTTGTACTTCCCTCTTCCCACAAAAAGAATATGGTTCCCAGTAACAATTTATTCATTTAATTCCTTTTTTTGGGGGGGGGTCAAGGGTCAAATAATTTAATTTTTTTGAGATGTCAATACAACCTACATTGTGAACAAATTCAATTTCTATAAAAATCCCAATAGCACAGGATTTTTTTACAGACCTATTGTTTAAAATTTTTTAATTTGATTATGAACTATAACTAGCCAAGCACTCATGAAAAAGAGGAGGCATTATACTTCCTGATTTCAAAACATATTAAAATCTACAATAACAAAAACAATGTGGTACTGACACAAAGACAGATAAACAGATAACAGAACAGAATAGAGCACAGAAATGAACTCTTCTGCACATGATTAAATAATCTTCCACAAAGTTGCCATGAGCACACAATAGAGAAAAGATAATCACTTCAAAAAAAAATGTTGAAAACTACATATCTACACTGATAAAGCTGGATCCTCTCCTTGAATCACATACAAAAAATATTTTAAATAAAATACTTACACATAAGAAATAACTAACAAATCTCTTAGAAAAAATATAGGGGAAAGAAATGACATGGGTCTTGGCATCATTTTCTTAGACACAACATTAAATATAGATCAACAAAGAACAGAAAAATTTAACTACATAATACTTCAAATTTTCTGCATATCAAAAAAAAAAATTCAATAGTGACAATGCCTCCTATGAAATTGGTGAAAATATTATTCATTTACTTTCAAAAATACCACACCAATACCACCCAAAAAATACCAAATTCAGGACTTACTTTTTTGGCAGTTAATTTTATCTTTCAACTATATCCCATGGAACGTATTCAGTCAGAGTACTACGTTTGAGTTACCTGAATTAAATTTTCTTTCCTGTCAGTCAGGGTCATTTGTTTCTATTTACATTCAGTTTTAATTTGGGAGTGTTTTCCTGTACAATCCTTGTTGTTTACGGAATTTTTCTGGCCATACGGAAAACTTTCCCAATCTCAAGTTTCAAGATACTCATTATTTGCTGCCATCTGCTCTTAAATCTATCAGTACACGTCTCCACACTGCCCTTCCCTTCAAAAAGATCTTAGAAAATATCAGGAAAAGTGCTACATCAAGCTAGGTCTGAACTTGCTACAATCAGGAATCATAAACGAGGAATGCTATTAAAGGAATATAGCTTTTGTGAGAAACAATGGGGTGTTCATTTGAAGCATTTTCACCAGTAAGAAAATACTAATATATGTGTTTATGGTTTCAATCAATAGAATCTATGCTCCATTAATCAAGGTAATACAGGCTCAGGTTAAACATAAATCTCTCTCCATTTATTTTTTCCTTACTGTAGTGGTACTGACATACACAAATGTTAAACATAAATCTCTCTCCATTTATTTTTTCCTTACTGTAGTGGTACTGACATACACAAACGGTGGGTTCAAGTGATTCTCCGTGCCCTCAGCCTCCAAGTAGCTGGGACTACAGGCACACACCAGTACGCCCAGCTAATTTTTGTATTTTTAGTTGAGACAGGTTCACCATGTTGGCCAGGCTCGTCTTGAACTCCTGATCTCAGGTGATCCACCTACCTCGGCCTCCCAGAGTGCTGGGGTTACAGGCGTCAGCTACGCGCCCGGCCTTAAAATCTGTTTATCCCAAGAAAGTTACTCAGTTATGCCTAATATTGTCTCATTAGTTTCCAGTTCATGGAACTTTATAGTGTTGAAGTGGATACCAAACAGCAAATGTCAACTATAATATTTATAGAACATATTATCGCTATATTAAAAGCAGTTTTTATACATGGCAATTCATATCTAATTATTATCCATTGAACTACAGACTTTTGTTATTCTCAATGACAATGTGAATACTTTATTTTCCTTTAATGCTTTATGAATTAAATATTTTAATCTTTACTTCTATTTTACTACTTTATCACTAGTGTTTCCAACTTTTTTTTTTCCACTTAATCTCACAGAGGTCAGTAATTTTGACATTTCGATTTATATTTTGCTCTTAGGCTTTCTAAAAAACAGAAGAAAAAGAAACAGAAACCAGCACAGGTATGTTAGAAAGGTTTTGTTAATATTAAATGCCAACTGTAAAGTCGCAGCGCTCTTATTTATTCAGGTCGTCTGTATTAAGGAGAGAGACTTATACTCATAATTTATGTTGTTGTAAGCTTCATTAAAGAATTGGAAATATTTTCCTTTTTAGTGCTTCCCTCCCTTGTATGTATGTAATAACTAACTTAATTATGACTGCAGTGTGTTTAACAGGTATGCATGTAGAATTCCCCTGGTATAAATTAGCTGAATTTTCAGTATTAAAATATGAATACGTCTCACAAAGGGCTTTTAAGTCAGATAACAATTAAAGTCTTGAAATAAGGCAAATCTGGGATTGGTCATTTTTTTATCTAAGTTTATTCTTGCAACAACAAAACATTGCAAAAGGAACATTTGGTTAGAAAACTTGTAATGATTATGAGTCTTGAAAAAA